CCCTCTGGAGCCTGTGGGTAGTCTCTCCACTCACGCCCTGTCCCTCGCTGTGACATCCAACCGTCGCAAGCTGGTGAGCCTTCTCATTGCTGCCGGGCTCCTCTCACCTCCATGGCTGGGGGCCTGACTCTCCTGCAGCAGGCTTGGAACTCTCCTGATGTCACAATCCGAGTACAAGCTCTCATCACGAGGGTAAGTAGCTTTTCCAAAGGCATTTCTGTCGTGAGACTATCATGAAAAAATTGGCATGCTCATATTTAAGCTTAAAAAGCTATATCCTTTGGAGTTTACAGTATTCCCCAATAGACTAGAAATTAAAATACTGGAATTCAACCCCCAGGCCTACAAGAACAGGTTGGCTTGGGAGAAGCGGCAGCTCCCGCCTCGTGAAAGCCTTCTCCACCAGGGTATAGACCGCATGCTGGACACTCTAGGCCCAACGCCATGGAAGACGAAGTGGAAATTCTTGGGTGTGAAGACACTTACGGCTCTTATGTGCACGGCTGCCCAGTATAATTGCATCCTCACAGCATTTTTCCTGCAACAGGCAGGGGCTCAGAGCTTCCTGTTGAGTGAGGGTGGCTGCACGTCCCTCCATGCGGCACTCCATTTCAAACACTGGAATCTTGCAGCTGCCATGGTTAAAGACATGAGCGCAAGCCTTTACATATCTGACTCTTCGGGCGTTTTGCCAAAGGATATCATGCCCAACTACTTACGAGAGGAGATTGAAGAGGTTAGTCTGTTTGGTGCCTACCTGTGTATAACTACCTTTTTTCTAATAGGAAATTTTATATCTTGTGTCAGATACTAAGTTACGAGAATACAAATATTTTTTTTTTTCGACATTACTAATTCATTGCATAATACATGTAAATACGTTTATTTAAATTAAAGTAATTTTCCTTCTGTACAGGCTTTGCATGCAAAAGAGAAGAGGAAATTAGATGATATGTATGAAAACTGAAAGACGAGAGCGAAAAAAATTATCCAACTATCAGACGACCTCTTCTCCGTTTTATCGAAACTCAGACGGCAGCAACAGCCATGAGATTCCGCCTTACCTCTCCTCTATCGTCTGTGCGTCACTGTCAGTAGCAGCGCAGAGAGGACTTCTGCAACTCATGTACATGGTTGTAAAAGTGTGTGGGGTACATCCAGACACGGTGGTCGATTACACCAACGACACCACCGCCCTTCACCTGGCTGCGGCGCATGGCATCTCCGGTTGCGTGGCTCTTCTCTTGGATCTCAATGCCAATCCTTTGCAGCCAGACAAATATGGACACACGGCTTTGCATTTTGCTGCCATGAACTGCCACGACTCGACATACCAGCTTCTGGCGGCAATGGTTCATGATGAGGAGCCAGTAAGCGTAGCAGGTACTGTGCCTTCAGAAATCAAAGAAAATGTGGATAAGTATCTCAAGTTGTACAGGAAGACAGAGACCGCTATCAAGGACAACTCTAACGTTCCAGAAAGAACGGATCCAGCAGAAGCAACAGTAACGTTACTGAAACAGGTGGGCTTGAGTGACATCGTGATGACTGTAGTGACTTCAGTGTTGACTTCAGTGAGGGCGAGGCAAGGGAAGTGAGCACAGCAGTCCAAAAGGAGTGTCAGATTATTGCCAATGGAGTAGCGTTGCAAGACAAGACGTATGAGGGAACCCTGACTCTTGTGGGCAGTTCATCAGATGGTACCCGCTTATATGCGCCGGATGAATGTGATATAAGTATAGTTCTTTCTAATATCCCAGACATTGAGATCACAGTTGTGGAACAGAATGAGCGGGAGGTTTTGGACTGTGGACACAGACTCCGAATCGAGGTGAGGACAGACGCACCAAAGTTTCAGGGCAACACACTCATTGAAAACTTGTATAGCCTCGTCACCAGCTACTTGGAAAGCCATATCCTACATGACAAGCGACTGAGCGTTGTTCCCCCTGGAGTGACGAGGACCCAGGTGGGCGTGTCCCTGTCTTTTGCTTGGCAGGGGAGGCAGTACCCGCTGTTGCTCGTGGGCGTCGACCTGGTGCCGGTGCTCCCTCTTCCCTGGCCCAAGGACGCTCAGACCAGCGCTGACGCCCCCGGACATTGAGGAGGTCCACCTCAGCAACAAGGCGGACGGAACGTGGCGGTGCAGCTTTGCAGGAGCCGAAGTTGCGGTGATCAGCCAGCTGTCGGCTGAGGAACGACGGGTGTTCCTGTCGTGCAAGACGCTGCTGTCCCCGCTTGAAGGCAGAGGTGTGGATGCCCCGAGACGTGAAGTCCCTGTACACGTGGTGGGATTCCCGCCAGTGGAAGATTCCCATTCCGGCTGGATTCGCGCTGAAGAACGCCTTTCTGAACGTGTTGGAATGGAAGCGGAGGGAGGGAGTCGAGTGGCGCGAGAAGGACCTGCTCAAGTGGATGATCAGAGTGTTCAGGGAAATGTGCCAAGCGGACGTGGAGTTCCTCGCCGACCAGGAGCAAGTGCAGGCGCGCGAGGTCCTTG